CCTTCGTTTCCTCCGGTTCCTCAGTTTCTTCCTCCTCGTCCCCCTCCTCATCCGCATGATCATCAGCACCATCCTCATCACCATTAGCATCATCATCAGCATAATCATCATCATCCTCATCTTCATCATCATCATCATCATCATCATCATCATCATCATCATCATCATCATCATCATCACCACCATCATCATCATCATCACCATCAGCATCACCATCAGCATCATCATCAGCACCATCATCGTGATGCTGGCTGCTCTTTTCCAGACCACTGATTGCGGAGACCGGGTGAGCACGCCCAGTCGAAACTGCCCCAGCTTTTTGTGGGAGGGAGGGTTCTGGGTGAACCAAAAAGCCTGCAGCGCGAAAGAAGCGGATACAAAGGCCAGACCATTCCTGTGGGGCACAGACATGATGCTGGCTGCTCTTTTCCAAACCACTGCTTGCGGATACCGAGTGAGCACGCCCAATCGAAACTGCCCACATCCAGCTCCCCGCAATCAGCACTGGCCTGGCGAATTCATTCGGCGCAAGATCCTACGATCATTCTGTTGACGGAAATCTCCCCCGAGGCCCCCGGATTAAAGGGGGCGAGAGGGAGCAAAGGAGGCGAGAGCAGGCCACAGGGCATTGACACGCAAGAGGCTGAGGGAGGTAGCGAAAGCTTGGGATAGTACCTCACAGAGCTCCTCGGGATAAACCTGCTTTTGCCGTGTGAGAAAACCTCTTGATCCGGTAGGCCCATCGAGTTGAAGATGCGATTTCCCCAAGAACATTCAAGTACCTCGACCCAAACATTTCGCTCGAAGGAGGGCGGGGCGTTTAAAATGCAACAACTGGAGCCGTACTCGAGCACGCCAGGCTGCACCAAATGCGCAATAGTCAATTATATGTTGTGTGCACGCTCCGTGTTGACTGTGATTGGGTCGATTGTACACTGACCAAAGAAACGATTGAGCCGGATTCTCCTCACCGCTCGGAATACCGCGATCAATGCGGCATTAAGTAGAGCCCCGCTACACTGTGCTAGCAAGTTCCCTTCTGCTACCAATAAACGACCATGATCGCATAAGTTTGGCAAGCCATACGGACACTCTTGATTTCGCAGCCGATGCGGCAATTGCGACCGTTTGGGGGCTCGTCGAGCCACTGAGAACGATTGGCGCGGAGTCCCTGGCCACAGCCCCGACACCATACCTGAACGAATCCAACCCATCAGCGCGCGAAAGACATCGTCACGCAACAGGTCATATTGAGCCCCGTGCACGATATCAATGCACACCACAGCGACATTACGGCGACCCAGAGCTCGCGCCAGCCCTCCTGAGCCAGAGAAGATATCTAGGAATACTCTCCGTAACGCGGGCTGAGGCTGCGCGAGAGTTTCGCGCAGCGCGCGGCGAAGGGCGCGATGCCGCGCTCCGCTGGCGAGGCGATATCCGCCCGCCGCGCCGCCGGCAACTTGCCGAGCTGCACGGAGACCCCGGCGTGCTTGCCGTGCCGAGCCACACCGCGGAAACTCCGCCAGTGGCCCCGCTGCTGCACCTCGGCGAGCGAGCGAGCGTGCCTGCACCAGGCGGTCGTGGCCGGCTCCACCGCGCCGCAGCGCGTAGAGCGTCGGTTCGACCGAGTGCGCCCCAGCTGCTCCATCGCGGCCGCGAAGGCGCGGTGCAACTGCCTGGAGCTGACGTCGAACAAGCGCCCCCGCTGGTCGCGAGCTCCTGCGAGGACGCGAAGCGCTGGGATCAGAGCGCGGCGCCTCTCGAGGTCCAGCAGCGCACTGAAGTCGAACTCTTGCGTCTTCGACGGGCGGCCGAGCTCCTCCGCGCGCGCGCAAAAGGCCCAGTGGGCCCCAGGCCCCCCCCGGCATGTAGGAGGCGCGAGCTGCGCCACTGTGAGGCTCGGCTGCTCGGACGGCCGCACGCACGTCTCGGACATCACATGGCGGCCAGCGCCCCGATCGGGCACGGGGGGGCATGGCCCAAGCGAGCGCGATCACTTCTCCCGAAGGCAGCGGGGGGCGACTGCGCGCGGGGCTGCAGCTGCCCCCGCCCGAGCACGGCGGCACGGGCGCCCGGGGAGATCGCCCGCAGCGGCCCGCCCAAGCACGGCTGCGCCCACGCTAGAGCCGCCAGCAGCCGCGTCGCCAGCGCCCTGCCCCAGCCTGTGGACCGCGCCCATACGACGAACGCCAACGTGTGCTGGTCCCACTGCGGGGCCGACCAGCGCGATTGCGGCCGCTTCTCGAGAAAGGAAGCCAACTGCTCCAGCGCGTCGCAGTAGCCCCGCTGCGCGATGGGCCTCGCCCGCCCCTGCTGCAACGGCGCAAGGGTAGGCACCCAGCCCTGTAGTCGCCGTCGGACCTCCGCGCGGATCCGCGCCAGGCGACGGGGGGCCTGGGGGCCGGCCTGGCCAGAGGCTGCCACGCGGGAGCCCCGCGGCCTGCCGCCAACTCGGGCGCGCTGGGAGGCCCCGCGGTCGCTCGGCCCAGCGCTCGCGACGCGAGCGCGGGAGCGGGGCCCGGCGCGCCGGCACGGCGCGTTGAAGCAGCCCGGGCCCGCATCGCCCTCGTCGGCGGAGGCGGAGGGGGCCGCGCGCCACAGCTGCGCCACCGGCAGAGGCGGCACTTGACGAACCTCTCCGACGCCCGCGGCCCGCCACGCCAGGGCTGGAGGGCCCGACTGGCAGCGCCCAAGGCGTTCCGCTCGGACGGCGCCCAGCGATCCGTCAGCTTGAGCCCAACGGCTAGGAAAAAGGCTGCCGAAATTCGACTGGCTATTCATCGCAGGATTCGACGAACGGCCCTTCGCACGCGCACAGATCACCGACATGTTATCACCCAGGATAAGCACCCGCGAATCGTAAAGACTACAATCACGGGCAATATGTCGCACAGACCAAGTCCGCGCTCTCGCTTCCAGCTGGACCTGCGACCCGGGCGCGCCCCTCCAGCGGCCAGCGTAGGCCACCTCCCAGCTCCCCACCGAAAAAGAGACGGGGACCTCGGCAAACTCCCTCACGCGCCCGAGATCCAGAATCACCTCCTCCGACGCTTCGGAGACGCAGACCTCCTCCTCATGGTCCAGGGCCCGCGATCGAGGAGCTCCCGAGACACTCGACAGCCCTCGAAAACGAGCGCGTTCCCGAACTCGACCAACGATTGCAACCTCCTCGAGGGGGCATCGTAGACAGCCGACCCCGAAGCCCCAGGCAGACACGTCATAACCAAGGGCCCGATCCCGCCAGGGACGTCGCATGCAAGATCGCGCAAGAGGGGCGAGGGCACGAATCCAGCGTACTTCACGAGCAACCGAAGGCCACGGGGGTTGTCGCCGAACATAGCTGTCCTGGATGAACACATAAACTTTCCCCATCACACACAACAGCTCGGGTGCTCAGGAAAAGAGAGCGGTGGCGTGGCCAACGAACCTCTCCACCTCCCGTCGTGCAACGCTCCCACCGCTCCCCAACAGGTGATCGCACGCGAGCTTCACTTTCCAGATGCGGCTGGCCTTCGGACGCCACCCCCCTTCGACCCCGCGAGCGCGAAGCCGATCAAATCGCGGTCCCCTGGGCTCTCGGTCTCCAACGACGAGGCGACCCCCCTCTCCTCCAGTTTCTCCTTCGCCCCCACGACGGCCCCCTCCGCGACGACGGGGCCCGCGCTCATTCATGCGAAGTCATCGATGCGGAATCCGCGCAGCGACCCGATGTCGCCCAGAGGCGGGGGGGGGGCGCCTTGTCTAAGATCCACTGGGCCTCGAGGTTCACGCCCCCGCGTCGGCGGGCACTCGCCGCCCGCGCGAGAGCCGCGGCGCAGTTCCACCCCATAGGCGCCACCCGGGCACGAACGCGAGCCCACCCGCGATTCCGAGCTACATCCGGCAACGTAGCAACGAGATGAGCGGGAAGGTGGGCCGTGGGGATTAGGGGAAGGCCGCAAAAAACACCTGTGCTGACTGGGGAGTTCAAACTGGCGATGGCAAACTTCAACATCGCCCCCATGCCAGACGGGGGCTGCACGGGGCGCACACTCTAAATAGGCGCGGGCCTACCCCGAGGGCAGGGCGACCCCAGGGGGCTCTTTAAACCGAAGGTTGGGGGCACGGGTATCCCAAATCATTCGGGGCGCGATAAACATGCCGCTCTCTTCGAGCACATCTTCGCTGGCCTCTAAAACGCCAGCGCCCAGGAATTCAGCAGCGAACTCTCCAAAAAGTCTAGGCTGATCCCGAAGGGCGGGGCCCAGGAAGAGGTCGCCTCCGAACTCGCGCTGGCGCGCGGCAACCTCCTCGGCAGATAAAAGGATTGAACGATCTTCAAGCGCGGGCTGCAGGGCGACAGGCAGGCGCCCACTCAACGGCACCTGGCCTGATCGCCCCGTGGGAAGTGACGCATTCCCACGCTCGAAGTTCACCCGAGCACCGACGGCTGACGCGGCGCCCGCGTAGCCGGGCCGCGTGCCCTGGAGCGCCTGCCGCGCTCCCAGCGAGCCCCCGCAATCAGGCGGCGGGGAATCCGGTGACCCATATTGGCGAGCGAGATGACGAACGGCCGAAACCTGCGCAGCTGTCAACGACGCGGGCGACAAAGAAGTAGCCTCCAAAGCGCCGAGCTCGTTCAGAGCTCGGATACCTTCAAAGAGCCGCCCCTCCTGCGCTCGACGACGCCGAAGTCGACGTCGCTGACCCTGCGAAAGCTCCAAGCCGCCAGCCCCTCCCAGCAAAACCTCTGAGGCGGCGGCCAAATATGTGGGCAGGACATCCCGCTGGCGCACCCTGTAGAGCTTGATAACGCCTCAGGGCGACACCCGCCAGCCGACCCCTGAACCCCAGCGGCTCGCCCTCGAGGAAGCGGGGTAGACCCCCTCGCGGCGGCGCAAAACTGAGCGGAGGACGGCGGTCAAGCTAACCACCCCCTCCCTTATCACCCTTCTTCCCCTTGGCGGTCTGCTTCGCCGACGGGGTCTCGATGCCCTTGGCCAGAGCGGCCTCCTCCCGCGCCTTGCGACGCTCCTTTAAGACGGCAGCACGAGTGGGGAGCTCCCTCGCGACGAAGTCCTCCAACTCGGGCATCGCGATGGCACTGCTGCGCAGGTTCTTTACGCCCAGGAACAAGGAACGCTCATTGAGCCAGTCGTCGCCGCCAGCGGAGCCCGCGTCCACCTCGCGCAGGAGATCCTTACGCGCACTCTCCCACATCTGGTAGCGGCGGCTGATCAGCTCGAAAGAGGCCAGGCTGCAGACCTGAACCTGGTCAATCGTCAACGCCACCTCCATCAGCTGGGACAGCAGCAAGTGCTCGTCGACCCCCACATCCGCCGTCGCCAATCCCAGCACAGAGCGCCACCAGCAGTGCCGCTGAACCGGCCCCTGGTTCCGTGGATGCGGTCCGCCACGAAGAGCGCGGACCGTGGACCCTCGATCTCCCAGTCGGTGCCGAAGTCGACCTCACTCATGGCGTGCAAAGCGCCCGTGAACGAGCGACGGTGACGGCGTATCCCGCCCTTCTTCGCAGGCAGGATGCGCGAGTCCTCCGCCGCCGTCGCCACCGCGGGCTCCACCGAGCCCTCGAGGCCACCAGCCAGCACCGCGCCGTCCGTCAGCGTGAAAAGGCACCTATCGCTGGCGACGTGGAGCCACTCGCCAATATGCGCCACCAGCGCCTCGCCAACTTCCAGTCCGCCACGGCGCTCCGCGGCCACCCGGCGCCCGGGCGGCGGCTCTGGGGGGCCCGGCTTCTCCGCCGCTCCGGCGGGCACCACGTCACCTCGGCGGAGCCCTTTGGCCAGCGCCTCGCCCAGGTCCATGTAGTACTGGCGATCCTGCCCGAACGCGAAATGGGCAATGAGGAACACCGGTGAGCCCCGAGGCGCGGCAGGCACAACGCCTCCCGCACCGAGCTTTCGGAGCCCGTCTCTCTCCCCCGGATCTTCCTCGAAGATGTCAGAGTCCCGCGAAATGACGACCCTGTGGGTGTCCACGATGCGGGCCAGCAGCACCCGCTCATGCCACTCCACTGCCGCCCCGCCCGCGTCCTCGATGCAGCAGACGAGGGCCCGATCGCCGACCACCAGGTGCTTGACCCACTCGGGCGTCGCCATCGTCACTGTCCGTGGTAGGATAATCGGCGCTCGCGCGCGCCAGGGTCGTGGAGCGGATCACGCCGCGCCCGACACCCACACCGGCGAGGACGGCACCCACCAACGCAGGCACGAACAGCGGCACGCGGCTGCAGGGGGGGGGGAGGAAGGTCCCGCGGAGTCCACCAGCTACATGATGATCTCCCGCAGGGAGGGCCTATGCCTTACCTGCTGACGGAGACGGGCGGCGAAAGCGTTCCTTGTGAACGAAGGGGGACGCTTCTCCCGCGTTCTACTCACATTGTACGCATAATGCACTACGTCGATGACAAGAGCGTGGAAGCAGCAGGAGGAAGCACCCGCCGAAACCCAAAGGCAGGGGAGGAGAGGAGGAGCAGGAACAGGTGACCCCAGCCGCCTCCGACGCCAGAGGACTCGCAGCGGCAGTCACAGTGGCACCCGCACTGCGGGGGGCGACTCGCCAGGCCGGCCAGCAGGCGGCACTCGCCCGTCACGGCCGCCTCGGGCGGAGGCACCTCGCAGTGGCAGTCCACGGGCTTCGGAAAGGCCAGGTGGCGACAAAAGGCCAGCTCTCGAAGGGCAGAGAGGGTGACCAGCAAAGGGCCGAAGCCCTCCATTCACTCCTGAACCAAAAAGCCTGCCGAGCGGAAGAAGCGGATACAAAGACCAGATCATTCCCGTGGGGCACAAACATCATCATCATCATCATCATCATCATCATCATCATCATCATCATCATCATCATCATCATCATCATCATCATCATCATCATCATCATCATCATCATCATCATCATCGTCATCATCGTCATCATCACAACCACCACCATCAATCATCAGCATCAGCATCATCATCATCATCATCAGCAGCATCAGCATCAGCATCAGCATCAGCATCAGCATCACATCATCATCATCATCATCATCATCATCATCATTCATCATCATCATCATCATCATCATCATCATCATCATCATCATCATCATCATCATCATCATCATCATCATCATCATCATCATCATCATCATCATCATCATCATCATCATCATTGCCTCTCCCTCCTCCTCCTCCTCCTCCTCCTCGTACTCCTCCTCCTCCCCTCCTCCGCCTCCCTTCGCCTCGTCCTCGTCCTCGTCCCTCCTCCTCCCCCCTCCTACTCTTCCTCCTCCTCCTCCTCCTCCTCCTCCTCCTCTCCTCTGCATCTTCCTCCTCCTCCGCCTCCGCCTCCCTCCTCCTCCCTCCTCCCTCCTCCCTCCTCCTCCTCCCCCTCCCTCCTCCTCCTCCTCTCCTTCCTCCTCCTCCCTCCTCCCTCCTCTTCCCCCCTCTTCCCTCCTCATTCCCTCCCTCCCTCCCTCCTTCCCTCCCTCCTCTGTCCTTCCCGCCCACCCGCCCGTCCGCCCGCCCGCCTTCCCTCCGTCCCTCCTCCTCCTCCTCCTCCTCCTCAACCTCCTCCTCCTCCTCCTCCTCCTCGTTCTCCTCCTCCTCCTCCTCTTCCTCCGCCTCTTCATCCTTTTCCTCCTCCTCCCGCTGGCGGTCGACGGGGTAGAGGGTGAAGCCGATGGGGTGACAGGTATCGGCATCATGTCGAACCCCACGAGGCTCGCATATCCGTTCCCCGCTGCGTCAGAAGAGGCTTCGTCACAGGGCTCGGATATTAGCGTCGTGGTGTGGCCAGGTGAAGGATGTCCATCGGAGTCCACATCAGAGCAAGAATCGGAGGAGTCAGCGGATGTGACAGCAAACGATGAGGTAGACGAGCACGAATCCGAGCGCATGCGGACGATGAGAATGGGCGCAAGGGCCTGCCACTTCTTTGCCAACCGTGCGCCAGGAGAAGCCATTCGCAATGCTCGGGCGATCGCGCGCGCTCCAGCACACAATTCTCTGTCGGAGATGCACGGCCGATGTCGGAACGCGCCATCAGTGTTGTAGCCAACAGCGATCGTTTCGACATGCCTGACATCAGGGAAACGGAGCCCGAGTCGGTCAGCAAGGGCCAGTCTTAAGGGACAACCCAATGCGTCACTCACAGCGGTCCAGAGCTTGACGCACCTCATGTCGTGCAGCTGCCCGTCGCGTGTATGTGCGCAGCCAAGGATACACAGGCGTCGGCAAGCTGGGTCTCGGATGCGGAAGCTAATGAGCCATCACGAGCAGTATGCCTGGGTGGCGGGCGTTGCCCAGCGGCGCGGCACGAGCATGATAAGCTGGCGGATGGCTACCCATTTGACTCGTTCAAGGAAAGGCTCCCACAACGAGAACTATCTCGATAACCGATCTTGGAATAGCTGGGCGAGGGGGAACACGGATGACCCGGGAAGCGGCACGCCGAGGACGCGGGCGACGGTTCTCAACCATCCTCTCCTCTTCGATGGCAGCAATGCCTTTTCGTCGTTGTCCAGAACAGGGGCAGCAACAGCGATAGCAGCCCTCTTCAGAAGCAGCGGGCGAGAGCGCCAGTGGTCCCCTGCGCCAAGCAGCCAGTCGCAACGAGTCCGCGCGGCAGCCAAAGGGGCACCATCAAAGACTCCATTCAGCAGAGACTGATTCCATGCTCTTGACACGAGACGCAATCGATCAAGACTGGAAGTGTGGTCTGAGAACGTGACTAGAGCCGAACGGGCACACGCAGCAGCACACGAGCGGAGAGGAATAGGAATGCGAGGGTTTCCCGACTCTTGAATCCGAGACCATCCTGCCAGAAGGTCTGCGCGAGGGCTCCAAGCTTGATGCCTTTTGTGGCGTTAGTTGGAATGCACGAAAGTGGGCCGCTTGCGCAAAGAATGGGCTCGGTGCCCCATGAGTGCGGCGCGGACATCAGTTGGGATGTCGGCCGTCTCTCTCTCTCTCTCTCTCTCTCTCTCTCTCTCTCTTTCTCTCTCTCTCTCTCTCTCTCTCTCTCCCCCTCCCCCTCACACTCACTCTCTCTTACAACAGCTCGACCTATCACTCGCTTTCGCTTTCCCCTATCCTGCGCAAAGCTGCCCTCGCGCACATGCCCGGCCTCCCCTGTGCTACACCCAGAAGGCAAAGACGATGAGGACAGCCACGGACGTCGCGCACCGCACAGCCCGCAAACGCGGACCACCAGGCCATGACACGTGCGCTTCTGTATCATTGGCTGGCGCAATCAGGCGCCAGATCGACATTTATCCGAAAGGCTTCGCCCCCCCCCTAAGTAGGTCAGTTTCGGGAGAGGCGAAAACTGGGCAACAGATGAGACAACCGAGTGCACCCTGGAGGCGTCGAGTACCCAATTAATGCCCATCGGGGCGGCCCCAGCCCCGAGTAAGCGAGCATGCAGCTTAAGTTTGAGCAGCGGGGCCTTCCACTGTACATCGACCGAGGCGGCGGGGTCCAGCTGGAGGCCCGGGTACAGAACGTGGGAGACGATCTCGAAGGCCTCCCAAGCCGGCACGGGGTTCGCGATCAGGTTAGACGCCCATGGCATGAGATCGGGCGAGAAGGCAGCCTTTAACGGGGTGACCTTACATTGAGCATGCTGGAGTTTGAGGCTCGCGAGGGTTTCCGCGACGCGCAAGGCGTTACATTGCGTTGCGAGGTGCCTGGTTTCGAAGAGGACGGCTCCGATATCGCCGGCGCGTGCGCGAGCAATGCCGCGGCCAGGGGTCTCGGGGGGGAGCTCGAGAGAGCGGAGAGGAAGGGGGCGGCGCCCAACGCGCGCGGGCTCCGAGACAGCCCGCAGCCCTCCAGGATCCCCGATCGTAGCCAACATACAGAAATTCGCTGCCCTGCATGAGCCACCACCCCATCAATCGCCAAGTAGAGCCAGTATAGGATGCGCAGTAGAGGGCCAGGAAGGCCCGGCATATTCATCACCATCATCATATACTCCCGGGATAAGCTCGGGAAGGCCTGGCCGAAATCGAAGGAGATAAGTAGGGCCCCGAAGAGGGCCAATGGGTGGGCGCCAGCGAGCCAGCTGAGGCCGTCTAAGGCCAGGACGTCGCAACCGAAAGTCGCGCCCACGACGAGCCCCCACTGGGGGCCTGGAACAACCTCCCCCGCCACCTTTGGAGGAAAACGGTTGACCACCGAGGTCGTCGCTGTCAGGCCCGCGCGCCTGAGGAGGGCGCGAATCTTGTCAGCTGACCGCGCGCGGCCCCCAGAGGCCTCGTCAGCATTCTCCGAACCTTTCGGCGGACAGGCTCGATCCCTTTTCAGCATCCGCCGAGCATTCCCGAACCTTTCAGCATCAAGCGAGAGACCCCCCATCAAGAATCCAACCCGACGCGCGGCGCAGGACGTCGACGCGCGCTCCCGAGGCGGCCCGCGCGGCACGGGGCAGACCGCCCACCCCGGGCGCGGAGTGGCGAGCAAGGCGGACAGCCCGACGAGCGGCGGCTTCTGAAGGCGGCGGGGCGTCGCTGCGCTGCGGGGTCTCCACGTGCGCGGCCAGATGCTGTTCTGCACGGTCACGCGGGAAGTCCTTCCTAGAGAACACTGGGCGCCAATATTGCTTCCGACGGCTTGGGGGCGGCCCCGGGGCGACGGGGCCAGCGCGGGCCCAATTCGAACAGCCTTGAGAACGTGGCGGCGTGAAAAGGGGGCCCAAGTCGCTGCCTTCCGACCCAGCGCGCGCTGCCGACGACGCGAGGATGGGGGGCGGGCAGAGGGCGGGCCGGCAGCGTGATCAGCTGATGCCTGCATCTCTTTTTCTAGGCGCCGCAAGTGGACCCCATCAGTCCACGAAGAAAAAGATTCAGCGCGTCGAAGAGGAACGCGCGCTCCGTCGACCGCCGGGGGGTCGGCCGCGCGCCCCGACGCGTCGATGGGGCGCCCGGCGAGCGGGGCGCCCCGCCGCCAGACGGCCCTCGCGCAGCTGCGGGCAACGGTCGGCGCCGCGTCGTCTGCAGACGAGCGGGCCGCGAGCAACATGTCGCGCACTTCTCCGGCAACTTCCCCGAGCATGTCGCTGAGGTGCTCTTGGCAAAAGGAGCCGGAGTGCCGCCGTGAAGCGCCCATGCCGCCAATGCCCC